TGTGTGTTTACTGGTGTGTGAATGTTTGGTCGTTCCCAGCTCTGTCTCGTGAATATAACCTCTGTGTACATTGGCATTCCCAGGATTCCAGTGATAGCTGTGCATCTGTCTGAGGTAAGACAGGACTCTGTTGCATTGCTGGGTCATCTGCTGACAGTATGTTTAATTTGATAGGGAAACACAAAGCCGTCTTCCCACTTGCCTGTGTCTGGGCCACATCTAGCCAGCAGTGAGACACCAGCTCTTGGTGTCTGCAGTTTTCATCCTTAGCGTCACTGGAGGGGGGCGGGGGGTGGTGTGTATGCATGTGTACGCGTGCTGAGGTCACACTGGGGTGTGTGTGTGTGTGCTGAGGTCAGTTACTCTGACTTCCAGTCTCATTTCCCTAATGGTTCAGTTCATTCTCTGGTGATGTGTTTGTTTCTCATCAGCATCTTTTCCTTTCTTGGGCACTGTCTTGAGGTATGATGATGTGAGGTGTTTACTGTGGACAACTTCATCTGCTTTGGGGTGTGTGCGTCTCCGTCACACTGTCCACACCATCAGATGAGAAGTGTTTCTGGCAACCCCCCACCTCACTGTGCAGTCCTGCCCAGTCCAGCCAGGCCCCCACTGGGTACTTTCTTTCTCTGTGGATTGGTTAGAGTGTAGTGGAACTATACTTGTATATACTGACACAGTGGGCACTTGTTTTAGCTGGCACATTTCTAACTACTTATAGTACTGAGCATCCTTCTACATAGCATTTGTGTCAGTTTATAACTTGTTTGATGACATCTGTGTTCAGATCGTTTGCCTGTGAAGCTCCACGTGTTTTCTTAGTGTTGAGTTACACGTGTCTTGTGAGTTCTCCAGAGATGAGCACTTGTCAGACGCCTTTGTTCCAGTTGTTGTTTTCCCCAATCTTCCCTTGTCTTTTCACTCTCCTGTCAGCCTCTGGAATTACAGATGGTTTTCATTTACATCCTGTCTGGTCCTCAGATTCTTTGTTTTGTGGTTTATGCATTTCTATACTTGATATTAAATGTAGCTGAGGCCAGGGAAACTGGGATTTTGTCAGGTGCCTTCCTCTGAAGGTTGGTTTCGTAAACTCTTCTGTTCCGGGACGAGCTCTGCCTTGAGTGGGGTGTTGCCGCTTGGGGCAGGAAAAGGGGCACTTCTGCACATGGTGACCAGCGGCTCCGCACCCGCTCACAGACCCCTCAGCCGCTGCCCAATTGCCTCGGCACCATCTTCAGTGGTGCGAGAGTCAGGCTCTGGACACTCTTCCCTGTGGGGAACGGATCATCTCTACAGCCGGGCAGTGCTGTCATCCAACATGATCCTGACAGTCCAGGCCCCAGGTCAACCCACCACCCTCCTCCCTGTGGTGTCCTCTCCTCAGTGCTGAGCCCTCCCCGTCCTCCCTGTGGTGTCCTCTCCTCGGTGCTGAGCCCTCCCCGTCCTCCCTGTGGTGTCCTCTCCTCAGTGCTGACCCCTCCCCGTCCTCCCTGTGGTGTCCTCTCCTCAGTGCTGACCGCTCTCCGTCCTCCCGGTGGTGCTCTCTCCTCAGTGCTGACCCCTCCCTGTCCCCCTCTCTTTGGTGACACTGAGAATAGCATTATCTTAGTTGAGTTTCTGACCGTTGCTGTGGTGTGTGGACCCGCTGCTGATTGCTGTGTTGACTGTGGTGCTCACGCACACATCACGCACTGTCCGTGTTCTTAGTCGTTTCCGGTGCACTTCACGCCCCGTGCACATCAACGCAGGGGCGCTTGTCTGCTGTCACCTGCGTGTCTTCCCCACCCACACGCTCTGCCCGTGGTGCTGGCCTGGCCTCTGTGGGGTCGCTGACCGGGGCCACGGGTGCCGTGCCTCGGGGCCGCCCTGCCTGTGGGCGCCCTGCCCCAGGTGCTGACCGGGTTTACAGGACACCGACAGGGACGCGGACCGGGGCTGCGGGAGCAGCCTCGGGCAGGGCACCCCTCCCCGGACGCCGGTGGGACCTCGAGCCCTCCCATGGCCTGTGTCGGCGAGGCCCTGCTTAGCTCCGAGGTCCCTCACGCATCTCACCGTGCCTGGGTGTTGATGCTTGCCCAGCTCTTCCGCGCGCATCGCGTGACCCTGTGGCTCTGCTGCTCCAGTCCGTCATGACCGGAGTCGAACGTTCAGATGATAAAGCCGCCTTGCGTCTCTGACTCAGTTCCCCTTTCGTCTTCAGTCCTGTCTCCTCATCCTGCTCACGTGCTTTTCGGCCCTGAGTCCTGTGTCTTGTTAGGGTTTGGTCCAGGCTCCTGGAAGGCAACCGTCTTTCTCTGCTGAATCCTCTGTCTAGTTCCGCGTCAGAGTGCTCTGACCTCACAGAGTGGGTTGGGTTATTGGTCCCCTTTCTGGAGCCCGTGTGTTGACATTTGGGATGACGCTTTATGTTAACGTTTGGTAGAATTCACAGTGAAGCATTTGAGACTGGTCGTTTCCTAACCTGGAAGGTCGTGGATGTTGTTTGCTGACTTGGTTCTCATCTTTCAGGTGTCTGCTCAGCTCACCTGGCTTGGTGAATTTATTATTTTTTTTTAATATTGAAGTTTAATTGGTTAACAGTGTTGTGATGGTTTCAGGCAGACAGCACAGGTACTCAGCCACACATGTACGTGTATCCATTCTTCCCCCAGCTCCCCTCCCATCCAGGCTGCCACGTGACATTGAGCAGACTTCCCTGAGCTGTCCAGCAGGTCCTTGCTGGTTCTCCATGTTAAACACAGCCGTGTGTCCATGTCCATCCCAAACTCCCTGACTATCCCTTCCCCCATCCTTCCCCCTGGTGACCATCAGGTTATTACAGAGTATTGAGCAGAGTTCCCTGTGCTGTCTAGCAGGTCCTTGCTGGTTCTCCATGGTAAACACAGCCGTGTGTCCACGTCCATCCCAGACTCCCTGACTGTCCCTTCCCCCATCCTTCCCCCTGGTGACCATCAGGTTATCACAGAGTATTGAGCAGAGTTCCCTGGGCTGGACAACAGGTCCTTGCTGGTTCTCCATGTTAAACACAGCCGTGTGTCCATGTCCATCCCAGACTCCTTGACTGTCCCTTCCACCCCATTACCATAAGTTCATTCTGTAAGTCTGAGAGTCTGTTTCTGCTTTGTAAGTAAGTTCATAGATATCATCTCTTTTTCGACTCCCCATGTAAGGGAAGTGACAGGGTGCTTCTCTCTGACTGACTTCACGCAGTGTGACCGTTTCTAGGTCCACCTGTGTTGCTGCAGATGGCATTATCTCGTTCCTTTTTATGGCTGAGTAATAGTCCATGGCACACATGCGCCACAGCTTTCTCTATTGCTCTGTCGGTGGACATCTAGTTTGCTTCTGTTTCTTGGCTTTTCTAAGCAGTGCTGCAAGGAACACTGGGGTGCATGTATCCTTTCCGACTGTTTTCTGCAGACACATGCCCAGCACTGGGATGGTAGGGTCACGTGGCAGCCGTGTCTTTCGTTTTTCAGCAGCCTCTGTGCTGTCCTCCACAGTGGCCGTAACAGGTTACAGGCCCGCCAACATGTAGGAGGCTTCCCTTTCCACCTCACCCTCTGCAGCACTTACTGATTGTTGATTTTTGGGTGATGGCCACTCTGATTGGTGTGAGGTGATCGTCTTTGTAGTTTTGATTTGCATTTCTCTGGTTAGCAGTGTTGAACGTCTTTTCGTTTGCATCTTGGCCATCTGTATGTCTTCTTTGGAGAAGTGTCTTTCCAGGTCCTCTGCCCATTTTTTTAATTGGGCAGGGAGCGTCCTGTCAGACTGCCTGCTGGCCACTGCCCTGCCTCCCCCCGCAGCATAGTGGTCTGTGAGCCAGTGTCTGGGTCCTGCTCTCGAGACTGTCGTGTGGTCACATCTGCTGGGGTCTGGTTACGTGTTTCCTCCGCGTCTCCCTCTGCAGTCCTGAGCCTGTTCATGCGCTTCACTTGCAGAGCCCATCAGCACACAGCTCGTGGTCCTCGGGGGTAACTGTGAGCTGTTCCACTGAGCTGTTTGCATTTTTCCTGTTGTTCATTCACAAAGTCATGTCTGACTCTACAACCCCATGGAATGTAGCCCGCCAGGCTCCTCTGTCCATGGGATTCTCCAGGCAAGAATAGTAGAGTGGATTCCCGTTTCTGTCTCCAGGGGATGGATCTTCCCGACCCAGGGGTCGAACCAGGTCTCCTGGGATTGTTGGAGCGTTCCCATATATTCTGGACTCTCCTGGTCTTGCCTGCATGAGTTGGGTGTTTGCAGAACTGTTGGTAAAGGTATTCACGTCTGCTGGTGTCTGTCCCGGGATTTGACCGGAGCCTTGAGGACGAAACTGAAGCCCGTGTGCAATCCTGCCACCAGGAAATAAAGCAGTCAGAGCGTCTCTGTTGTTTCCATACCTCTTCAACGCCTTCTGTCGCGGTTCATTCGCTCAGTCGTGTCCGACTCTTTGTGACCCTGTGGACTGTACCACATCTTCCGTGTCCTTCACCGTCTCCCAGAGCTCACTCAGACTCACGTCCATCGAGTCGGTGATGCCATCCAACCACCTCCTCCTCTGTCTTCCCCTTCTCCTCCTGCCTTCAACCTTTCCCAGCATCAGGGTCTTAAAAGCTGTGACTGTGAGTGGTGTGGTCACCTTGACCCTTGAGATGTGCGGTGTCACAGGAGCACCCTTGTCGTGCCCCGAGTATTTCACGGTCTCCTCTGTTGTTTACGCTCTCCTAATGGGCCATGAGATGCTGAGACTCCAGGGTTGGGGTGTCGTCACCTCTGTCCCAGTTGCTGACGGTCAGGCTCTGGTCTGGGGACCAGGTGCACACTGTATCCTCAGGACCACGGTTTGCATCCCCATCGCCCATGTGACCGAGGGCGAGGGGCTGCCGTGTCCTCATAGACACCCCGGGGTGTGCAGGGCGCGCCATCTGCACACAGCAGCTCTTCCTGCCTTGTCGGGGCTGGGCCGCCATGGGGGCCAGGACGGGTTCACCATGTCCCTGCCCCTCCCACAGGCCTGTGGCTGCCCACTCTACTGGAAGGGACCGCTCTTCTGCAGCGCTGGCGGGGAGCGCACCGGCTCCGTGTCCGTCCACAAGTTCGTCGCCATGTGGAGAAAGTGAGTCCCAGGAGGGGGGTGTCCCCGGCCCGTCCCTCGCCCTCGGCTGGTGCTCCTGCCGCCGGGACAGTCACGTCTGGGGGAGGCCATGACGGGGGAGACTGTGCCTGGGGTGTCCCGGTGGCCGGGACGGTCACTTCTGGGGGGTGACCGTGCCTGGGGGTCCCGGCGGCTGGGACGGTCGCGCCTGGGGGGTGACCGTGCCTGGGGGTCCCGGCGGCCGGGACGGTCGCGCCTGGGGGGTGACCGTGCCTGGGGGTCCCGGCGGC